TTTCTGGTCTCAATCGTATTCTGGCGTCAAATCTGGTGAAAAAGTAATGGTCTCCGTTAGATCATTTCTGGGCACTGCTTCGATAGAATCGTCCGCCATTTCTAGGGTTCTTAATAGGGATTTGATTGTTCACATCTGGATCTACAAATTCTCCGTTCTGGGTTACGTCAAGGTCACGGATATGGTGAGGATTCAGAAAGTAGAATCGTTCTACGCGAAGCTTCGTGAGTCAGCTACTTCATGATCTTCACAGAATCCCACTTTTTGATATTCCTTCAACATCTGATGTTGATTCACTTTGTGCGCTTAAGGTTATTACTCATATCCTCGAATCAGATTCGATTCAGTATTCTTGTTTCCCTGTATCGTCTTTTTTGGAGATTCACAAGTATGCTGGTCCTGCTGGTTTGTGTTCTACTTCGTCTGAGTCTCCTCCTGTTACTATACTGTTGATTAATTGGGGTTGTCACCGTGATTTGAAGCTCGTGTTGAAGTTAGGTCCCGCGGCTCGTGTTTTTGTTGTTGATAGTCATAGGCCTATTCATTTGCATAATCTTAGTGATTATAATGAGCAAGTTGTTGTTCTTCATACTGATGATGATGAGAGGCAAGCTGATTTGGCTTATGATTTCGATGTGTTGAAATTGGCGAACGAGAGCTTTCAGTTACATGTAGAAGAAGGGGGTGAATCTGATGAGGAGGAGGAAGAAGATGAGGAAGAGGAAGATGAGGATGATGATGATGATGATGGAGATGGTGATAGGCCAAGTAAGAGGAGAAAAATGGGAGATGGTGTGAAGGTTTTCAAGAAGTTAAAGAGGGATTATTACAAGATGGGGACTTTTCATGGGAAGCCATCGGGATGTTTGTTGTTTGAGCTATCTCATATGTTGAGGAAGAACACAAATGAGTTGTTGTGGCTGGCTTGTGTTGCTTTGACTGATCAGTTTGTTCATGAGAGGTTGACTGATGAAAGATACCAAGCTGCGGTTATGGAGCTTGAACAACACATCAATAGCTCAGGGAATATAGATAAGATCACTTCTGTTACTTTGAAAGATGGAACCAAGGTTCGAGCACCTGACTGTTCGAGAATCTCTTATGAAGAAGAGCCTAGGCTTATGCTTCTCAGGGAGTGGACGTTGTTTGACTCTATGCTTTGTTCTTCATACATTGCGACTAAGTTGAAGACATGGAGCGATAACGGCATCAAGAAACTTAAGCTTCTTCTAGCACGTATGGGATTTGCGCTTATCGAGTGCCAGCAAAAGTTTCCATACATGAGCCATGAGGTGAAAAGGAAAATGAAGCAAGAGTTTGATCGGTTTTTGCCAGAATATGGGCTTAATGATTTCTACTACCGGAGTTTCTTGAGGCTTCATGGTTATAGCTCAAGGGTCTCTGCTGCAGATGTTGTGTATGGTATTACAGCACTTCTTGAATCATTTCTTGGATCAGGTGGCTCCTCTGCTTCAAAACAGTTTGGCGAAGCTTATGATGCTCTGTCTTTGAACAATTTGGATAAACTTCGGTCTGGGATGCAACAAGCAATCAAGGTTCAACGAGCAATTCTTAGACAAGGAAGTGCAGCAATCACCAAAACTGGATGCATCCGAAGTGGTAGGAAATTCAGATGGGTAAAGATTGAAGATTCCATGGATG